ATTTTTCATCAGGCTATCTGGTGATACGACAGAGTGTAGCAAACTGAATTCACACTTCTTCAGTGTCAGTGAAAAAGTGAACAAAAGTACTCTTAACTAAAATTCGAATTCTGATACCGTCTACTAAACTTACAGCTGTTACACCACGTCGCACTTCCAAGGCTGCTACCACATAGGTAAACCCACAGCTTTCTGGTTGGCACAGCACTTCCTTCCGACGTATCTTTGACTTTATCACATTATTACCACACCCCTATCTTCTTGTTTGTCACTCCTCCCATTTTATATCGGTGAAAACTTAATCCACCTCCATAGGGATTAATATTGGCTGAATAAAACGTATCACTATACAATGGTGATTGAAAACTAACTCCCTATTTTATGTATGATGAACTCTCCCGTCTTGTAAAAATTATAGTTAGACGGGAGAATCCATCATGCATAAAAGGGAGTTAATTTTTAATCACCCTGTATATATGTATGTATTTCGGAAAAGGTATATATTCGTGTATAAGCCGACTTAATGTATAATGCGATTCCTGATTTTTTTGCATGAATTTTAACTTCCCCAGAAAAAATTTACCTGTGTATAGTGCAACCGGTCAAAGAAATTGACGATATTTACTCTCTTCAAACGAATTACCTGTGTATTGTGTGACCACCTATTTTTGGTTTAAAAAAAACTGATCATAAAAATATACTCGAGTATATATGGTTAGTTTATCGACAACATCGAGTTCAACATTCAACACTTTATTCGAAAATTGGAAAAATACAAATAAAAGTTAAACAAGCAGACCTTGCTGTTTCTTTTTAATCAAACATATTTGTCTGAATAATTATAATTCATAATTTTATAAATTCACTTCGTTTTTGGCTTGAAAATGTCCACATTGGACGAAACGCGTTGGCTAATAATGGAGTTTTCCTACTGTCTTTTACCTTTATAAATATTGTCTTTTTCTACAGGTTAACTCTGAGATTTTTTTCATATATATATATATATATATATATATATATATATAGTTGAATTGATGTGAGTTTGTGACTCTGGATTTCACGCCCTTTGGATCGTCAGACAAACTGAATATATCCAGCTACAATGAGAACGAACAGAGTAAACTTAAAACGTTCGTAACATTTAATTTAAAAGATGGATCATTACATAGTATAGCAATATATATATATATATATATATATATATATATATATATATATATATATATATAGAGAGAGAGAGAGAGTAAAAAATATGACTTAGAAGCTGACAATTTTAGGATAAGGAACAGATAGGAAACGTTTATAATTAACCCTACGTTGATAACATCAATATTTGCCTTCCTGAAAAATCGGCCATGGCGAAATTCGAACCCATGAAAGGAAAGTGAACGTTCTAACCACCCGGCCATGTGCCCATACGCGTGTACGTGTACACACACACACACACACACACACACACACACACACACACACACACACACACACACACACACACACACACATATATATATATATATATATAAAATCGATTGTTCTTACTGTATTAATATTTACTGAACTACTGTGTGAAATCAATCCTCCTACATGGCAGTGAATGCTGGACAATTTCGTCACAGATGAAGAGGAAACGTGAGCCAATAAAAATATGGCTCTACAAAAGGTGGCTGAGAATGCCATAGATGGAACATGTGTACAACAAAGAAGTTTTCATTAAAATGGGAACACGGAGGAAACCAGTGCCTAGAATCAGAAAGGGACAATTGAAATTTCTGGGACATATGATGAGGAAAGAGGGCTTGGAGAATTTGACATTCAATGGACACTTTATTTCAACATCACAGGCCTGTCGCTATTTTGTATGTCAAGTGTTCAGATAGGTTCTTTTTTTTTTTTTACTTCCACCAGTTCAGACATTTACGGCTACGACGCATCATGCTTCTTTCAAGGAATTGAATCAGCCTCATTTCTTCCATATTCCAAATATAAGGAGAAAGTTTCACCCAGACAGCATTTTTTTCCGAAGAACTGCTACCTTCACTTACTGTCACCTTCTCTTTCATTCACACCTCTTTTATTATAAGTATTTTAAAATTTACTCTCTACCTTGAGTGGCTCCCGAGTTTAGTATTGATGAAACTTTAATAATAAAAGAACGAACATTCTGAAGGCAAGAGGGGCAGGTTGAATGTAATCATCGTAAGCAGCTTGTGTAAATGGATGGCAGATTGAGTGAGATACTAAGGAGACAAACATTGCTTATAGCTACAAAGGATAGGAAGTTGTGGAGAGTCATGATCACCTGCTTAACGAGCTTGTGTAAATGGATGGCAGAGCAGCTACTGAGTGGGATAGTAAAAGGAAAAATATTACTTAGAGCTACAAAAATAGGAAGTTGTGAAGAGGCATGATCGCCTACGTCCCGGAGGTACACAGTACATAAAAGAAGAAATAGCTATATATTTCAATACAGGTATTTGTTAATACACTAAAAATGTTATTCTTAATATACATCTTGAATGAAGGGGGTCTTATATACCTGCAGTTCTTGTATGCTATAAGATACGGTAGGTTTATCGTCAGAGCGAGAAAAATGAATAGAGATGTAACGAAAAGAGATTGAGAAAGAATTGAAAGGAGAAAAAAAGTAGCGAGGTTCATTAACGAAGTGGAGGGAAAGAAATGAAACGACGGGCGAGGAAGATGACGCTAAGCCATAGAAAGGAGGACTTATAGAATTTCCTCAGTCAACAATCGTCTGACTTCACCGATTTCTTCACATAAATCCTAAGCGTTATTAGCTCGTTGACAGCTGTTTGTCGCTGCTCACACCTTTTGTGACGACACGTCATGTTTTGTATGCAGGCGTCTTTGCAACAGAAACGACCAGGCTGGTAGCTGATCGGGTTAATAGATAATCATGCAGATACTTAAAACGACAGCCGTAAAAGCCATTTTAAACCATTTCTATCCAGGTTATCGAAATTGATTACGCCGCGAACAATAGAAAATAAGAGAAAATCACTATATTCAACTGGAAATCACAGAAAATTACTTTATTCTTGAATTATTTTTCGTAAAATTTTACATGTAGACATGTTAGCATTTCTATCCTTGTAGAAACGACTTAGATTTGTTTCATATTTTAACATATTATGACTTTTGTATCAGAGTGAATGTGCGTGTAGCGTAACAGCCATCGGCGTGGAAAATTGGCTCGGTGAGACGATTTCAAGATCCGGCCCGACCGATGCAGTTATGTCCACTTTCAAAGCTACACCTATAAAAAAGGTTTGAATCGATCACTTCTTCCAGCTATGGGTTAAATAGCAAGGTAGACTGAATTCTAGCATTGGGTGGCAAACAGTCGTAAGAGAAGGGAAACTTCAAATTCCAAAAACTGTAGAGAAGGCAACGTGAAACCATTGCACTATATTTCCCAAGTGGACATAGCAATTCAAAAATAATAAACGCAAAGGAATCTGTGGAGAACCCTGGTCAACTATGTCCTGAAGAGTCATGGAATTAAAAAAAAGACAAAGAGAAATTGTTTTATAGCTATATTAGCCGTTTCCCTATAAGGAAACATTCGGCATTCATTGACCGAGCATTTAGATATGTTGTCGGTTGAAGTTTATAAAATCATTATCTTAAAATGATTTTTCAAGAAAATATGTTTGGTAAGCCTAGTCGCTGTTATCACTCTTTCTTGTATTGATGGGAGTTTCCTTCCTAACCTTTTGTTTGGGGTAGAGTGGAACGTCAGAATTTAGATTATGTTATTCTTCCCTCTTCGAGTTGTATATGCGATCCATTTTAGTTGTTGCTGTTGTGGGAAGTCTTCAAGTGATGTAGTTTCTGTTATCTGGTAGAGTTCATTGTGACTTTGCAACACCGGTCCCCAATGTCCGATGGAGGATGGTCCTCGCTGTGGCCTACAAGCTTCATTCGCTCGAAGCCATTTTTGACCATCGATCTGAGAAAGCGGTTGTATATAGCCGACAGTTTAGATATTTCTGATAATTTCAAATTGTCATCAACAGGGCGCAATTTTTTCGCATACATAGGCGAACACTAAGACGACATATGTGTAGACTGAAAGATTGGTTTTAAATGATGCTATTTATTGACACTTGAATATTGAAAATTGTGCCGTGAAGATGACAATTTGAAATTGTCGAAAATACTCGGAAAGTGCCTTGCATCTGACAACAACTCGAATATAAGGATCTTAATCTTCAAGGAATTGATAGTAATTTAATGTCTCATTAAGTCTTGTTAGCGAATTGATTTCGCCATTAATCACATTAACATTATTATTTAATTCTTTGTATAAATTGTTTCTTTATGATATATATATATATATATATATATATATATATATATATATATATATATATATATATATATATATCATGTACGTTCAGTAAGGGGGTGACGTATAAACATAAATTCCTCATTTCCTTTTTCTTCAAACAACCATCTTGATTGCATTCCACTAATAAAATGTTATCATAAATATAAAATATAAAAGTAGCAACCAGATCTTGTCTATCTCAATCTCCTTTGAGCCGCGACGGAGGTGCGTCTGGCCAAATGTGTGGGCTTCTCTGTCGCGCAGAGTTGTCCACCAAAATCAAATTCACGCGAATGACCTCGTCAAATTTTTTTTCTTCAGGAATAGGCTGGGCCTTCACAGCCATCTCGGCCACCAGAAGGGAGAAAGTGAATAGGGACAGAGGATGACGATCCCAGTGCTCAGATGCGAGCGGCTGCTGACTATTACTATGGGTAAATAGCAGGACAGACCAGGCTCTATAGCCTTGGATGGCAACTGGTCTACTGCAGAAAGAAATGGCAGCCCACTGCAAGAAAAATCTGCCTCGTCAGTCATGTATCGAAAGTTACATGATCGCCTAAGCGTGTATCACGCATGGCACATAACTGACTGGATGAGAAGCTAGTTATTTCTCTGGCTAATTATTTCCCTATCTGTTCCCATTGGGTTATAAGTAGGGAAATAATTAATTACCCACAAGGCCATGTAAACACTTTTGAATGCTGTCAAGTCTGGAAAGTAAGGATGGTGCAGATTTATCGCAGATATGTTAATAATAATATTAATATTAATAATAATAATAATATACATTTGCGATTAATGTTTCAGTTTTTCATACGACCAGAAATTTCAGTTACTATATATACGATCATTAGACTGAATATGAGCACTGATGCAAAATGTTGTTTCTAATGGAATAGGTGGCATAAATAACTAGAAGCAGTAATAATAATAATAATGATGATGATGATGATGAATGCCCTGGTGCCACACCAAGCATGACTTTCATGGCTTCTGTTCTGAATTGATTGAAGGTGTTAGCAAGTACAGGTTTTGTTTTACTGAATTAAGATGATTTACAGTAAATATCCCGCTCAGTACCAAAGGTTTCTTTGTCACTTTCTTGACCTTAATCAGTTGGGCATGTCCCACGTTGGACTAACTCACTTTTTACTCTGGAAATTTTTTGACTTCAGAATATTTTTGTTGAAAAGTTTGAAGTTTTTGGTTCTGGTAAAATGAAATAAGATGAAATCGAAACTATGAGATCTGAGTTCAAATCTACCAATGTAGTGGTATGTAAATGATTGCTTATTTAGCATAGTTAAGGCATAGACTATATAAATGCCCAAGCACTAAGGGTAGAGCAGCTCATGTTATACGAGATAAACGACTACAGCAGGACTGATAAAATACGAAAGAAAACACATATCATAACAATTAATAAACTGAAAATATTTGTTTAAACTTTTAGTCTTGTCGTTTAACAATATTGAGTAAAATACTTTTTGGTCAGACCGAGAACTTTTCACCACCGATTCATACAACTAGCTTAATTACTCAGTTTAGTCAGCTTAAAGTTTTGATCTTTTAACCGGTGTTTTACGAAAGTTATTGAAATTGACTTCAATTGAATTTATGCTTTTAATAAAAATCAAATATGACTGTTTATTTCCTTGATAGGAAAAGAATCGTTACGAATGTTACAATTTTGAAATGTGAAAGATGACGATGTAGAAATGGAGACGGCTCTAAAAAATGTCGTTTAAAATATTTTGGTTTGATTTGTTTTACGGCATATCAACCTCAATGAATTATTTAATGCCGACAAAATTGTTAATTGCTGGTAATATTTTTTTCAAACATGAATATTTGTAATATTTTTCCTTCGAAAAATCCATTTCTGAGAATATTTTTTTCAAAATGTATTGCTGGCAAAACCCTTCTTTGCCCCAAATGCATTGCTGGTAATAATTTTTCTTTTTTACAAAGTATTTCCGGCACCAAGACCCACCTCTACACCTTCATAGTGTCGCGACCCAAGCTCGGAGGCTAACCACTTGTCCATAGTTGGGACCCCAACAGGCGCCACATCTCGGGTCAGGGTGGACCTGGGAACATCACTAATTAAGAGGTGGTTCCATGCTCCTCAAAACCTACTGATCAGAGGCCCCGACGTTGGACGTAGTTTATCGTCTTACGCAGGACCGGATGTAGTTTATCGTCATAATCAGGACGGTAAAATATTTTGGTTGTAAAATCAGACGAAATCATTTTCATAAACATAACTACTTTTTAATGACATCATCCTTCAGGATGTAGGCGATTATGGCTCCTCACGAATTCCTTTTCTTTATTATCTGTGAATTGCCATCACATCTTGGGAAAAATAATGGAGTGATTTCCTGTTGCCTTCTCCACGGTTCGGAATTCAAAATTTTACTTCTGTATCCATGGTAAAGGTTGATAGCACAGTTTACCCTGCATTTTAATCCATAACTGGAAAGAGAAAAGATTAGATTCGTGTCTTTTCTTAAAGGTTTTAACGTGAAATTGAAATCAACTGTCTAGGTTAGAGGCTGAACTCCGCACGCCTATTCCACGTCCCACGCCAATAACAGTTAAAATATTTACTGTAAGTAAAATATAGCATTTTTTTTCGTTAGTAAATAAGTTCTTATTTTTTTATGACAACATAATTTAAATATATTTGAATATTTGTCAAGTCATTAATTTTTTAAGTGACGAGAAATATATTAACTTTTTCTGCAATTACTAACTTGATTTGTGACAGCTGTCTGATTACTTTTTAAAATAATGACGCATTGAACTAAATATATGAATAAGTTCGGTTGATATCACTTAATGACATTGAAAGAGTCTTTGCAATAAGTCCATGATAACAATACTTCGGTTGTACAATTACCAACATTGTCTACCTTAATAACATTTGCATATATGCCGACACGCATAAATGATTATAAACGTATTTATTAACTTAGGCTAAATGATTAGAAAAGTGTGGTTAAAGAACATTGTTTTATTCTTTCATTTGGGGAGGGCCAGCCTGGTTTGAAAATCGGAATGTCAAATCGTGGCTTTTATAATGCTTCGAACACTTGACAACAGACTTGTAGAGAAATATACAGCCGATCATCCAGGTAACACGTACAGGGTCATACGCTCACATATAAGTCAACAAAATACAAAAGACTTTTTAATATACTGCACATACATATAAATACACACGTATATATATATATATATATATATATATATATATATATATATGCAGAAGTTCGATTCTGATCTACAACTAGGAACAATCAATTAAAAAGACTTCCAAAGATTACTTTGACATTTCAATGGG